ATTGAAGATCGTAAGATAGCTGTCCTTGATTTATTATTGTTCCTTAAATTCTCTGATCTCTCATTGGTCGGAGCCTAGAGTTGTGTTGTAATGAAGAAATTTCCATAAAGCCGGGTTACTTGTTCCCGATCTTTTATCCGTGAAACATCTTTCCTTTTGTAGACAGTAGCATTTATTATGTGGTTTTAGCACATCCTGGAAGATGACGACAGGTACGATATATTATTAGCTACGGTCTTTGACCTTAAATATTAATTTCGATTTTGTTTCCGTCATTTAAATTTTAAAACGCCATGACATGACGACATGTCGTCAAAAAAAAAAAAAAAAAAAAAACAAACAAAAACAAAAAATGACATAATTTAGATAAGCAGACAATTCAACTCCAAGTAACTAAAGGTGGGATATAAATATATTACATGTACTAGCATATCTTCTTTTAACTTTTTTATACCTTTTTATTCCTTAAAAAAATTTATTTTAAAACAAACATTTCCAAATGTCTGATATGAATATTGCACTCACCAATTCTGTTCGTAAAATCGAACTTGACGTTACGGAGATCAAACAAATGCTAGCTGCGCTGTCTGATCAGTTCAAAAATCAATTTGCACCAAACATCACTGATGAAGATGTAAATATGATACAAAAAAGTATCGTCGAACAAAGTGGTAAAGCATATCCTTCCCAGATTCTGATAATCGTGACTGAATCAGTTTTTTTTGTATAGTTATTTTTTTAGCTCTTGATCGAATCACCGAGTCGGTAAAAAGATCCCAAGTGATTGAATATCCTGATCAGCTTGGTAAACGAACGATTGACACAAATTCTGAAGAGTTTGAAGTAAAGAAGGTCTCGGATAGACTTAATGTACTGCTGCAACTTTTACACACAAAAGACTGGCAGTTATTTTGCAAGGATATTCCCGATGAGCAACAAAAGCCACCTCTAGTCCCAATTTCACAACGTGATTTGGAAATCAAACGAGTTCAGTTGAAGTCACTGGCACGTTCGTTGAAGCATGATTTGATTGACCTGGACCACCCTGACGTGTTAAAAAACTGGAAGGATATCCCGGCAAACGATAGGGATTTTTACATGTTGCGCCTGGAAAAGCTTGCGAATGACAAGGGATTCCAAATAGAGTGCATATGGACTTCAATATGCCAAAAAAAAAAATTTAAGCAGAGAGAAACGTTAAAACTGGACCACCACACTTTCCTCATAATTAAAGTCCAATATTTTTCGACATATATTATTTTAATCATGATTAAAATGAGAATATGAAGTTTTTATTCTAAAAAAAAAAGTGTGTCCGGGATTTTTACAACTGGATTTTAGGTGTGGGGGGAAAAAATTGTCACAAGCAGGTTCAAAATTTTAAATTTTTCTTTTCCGACCAATAGTATTGTCCCGCGTATAGTATTTGCCGCCTTCGGACCATGAAATGCTTACTGCCTGTACTCTCAATTTGAGTACCCGCATGCGTAGTATCGCAGCCTATTAAATCAAAGTCTGAGGACATTTACTGTCAACCCTGTAAGACACAAAAAGGATAAAACAAACTTTATGTACTAAGTAGAAACGCTTCATATTTAAAAGATATAATTTAGAGTATTTTGAAAATAGATCCAACTAGTTGTTTATTTTAATTTATGTATTTGAAGGGTCGTATTCGTTAGATAAAGTACACAGTGCCACAACCCGTTATATCAGAGTCTGAGATCAAATATGATCAATACTGTAAGGCACAAAAAGGATAAAACAAACTTTATGTACTAAGTAAAAACACTTCATATTCAAAAGATATAATTTAGAGTATTTGGAAAATAGATCCAACTAGCTGTTTAATTTAATTTATGTATTTGAAAGGTCATATTCATTAGATAAAGTACACAGTGCCACAACCCGTTATATCAGAGTCTGAGATCAAATATGATCAATACTGTAAGGCACCAAAAGGATAAAACAAACTTTATGTACTAAGTAGAAACACTTCATATTCAAAAGATATAATTTAGAGTATTTGGAAAATAGATCCAACTAGCTGTTTATTTTAATTTATGTATTTGAAGGGTCGTATTGGTTAGATAAAGTACACAGTGCCACAACCCGTTATATCAGAGTCTGAGATCAAATATGATCAATACTGTAAGGCACCAAAAGGATAAAACAAACTTTATGTACTAAGTAGAAACACTTCATATTCAAAAGATATAATTTAGAGTATTTGGAAAATAGATCCAACTAGCTGTTTATTTTAATTTATGTATTTGAAGGGTCGTATTGGTTAGATAAAGTACACAGTGCCACAACCCGTTATATCAGAGTCTGAGATCAAATATGATCAATACTGTAAGGCACCAAAAGGATAAAACAAACTTTATGTACTAAGTAAAAACACTTCATATTCAAAAGATATAATTTAGAGTATTTGGAAAATAGATCCAACTAGCTGTTTAATTTAATTTATGTATTTGAAAGGTCATATTCATTAGATAAAGTACTCAGTGCCATAACCTGCTAATTTTAAACTGAGATCAAATATGGTGAAGTGTAAAACACAAAAAAGATGTTTGAAATCGGATATACATTAAGTAAGAACGTCTACTACATGGAAACTTTGTTTACTTCAGTAATATTAGATGTAACGTTCTTTAAAACTAAAAACGCGTCAAAAGGGTTACTGTTTTTGAGCGTATTACTTCACGGGAGCTTTAAAAATGACAAATAGAATTGTGAATTTAAAACTAAGTTTGGGTTTATTTTTGTACCTTGTAATTATTCTTTTAAAATTACTTTTATAAATTTACATATCTATATCAATATTCATTATGGCTAAATCAAGAAAAAGAATCAACATTGGAAGAAAGGCTAAATTCATTCAAATGGAAAAAATTGCTGCTGCTGAGTACATTGCTAATGAAGTAATTGCCAAAGAGGCCGAAATCGCTGACATGCCTCGACCAGAAGAAGTCAACGCAGAAGCTTTCCCCATTTCCTGGAGCAACGCAACCGAAAAAACCGGGGAACAGAAGTTTAAGCGTAAACTTCTCCCTACAAGAGAGACGCTCAGTAGAAAGAGATCTACTGCAGCCAAGGCAGCTGTAGGCTGTCATTCGATTAATGATTTTTTCCCCGTGGTTCAACAGGTTCCTACACCACCTCAAGTAGAGAAGAAGGAGAAACCCAGAAGACCCGACGAAGCAAGTTTGGTAAAGATTCGCGAGTCTTTGCCCCTTTTGGAATCGAAAATCCGTATCTCTGGTAATACCACCAGCGACCAACACCACAACGGTGTTAAACAATTTCTGAAGTACGTGGTTGTAAAGCATGTTATGTTGCAGCTATTAGACGGTAAAACTTTTGTCGAAGCAACGAAGCTTGCGGTAAACATGCACTGGATCCAAGCTTCGAAATCCTATCGTCATCGTGCTGCCAGAAAGTGGTTTGAAGCCTGGCTAAACACTGGTGACATTCCATGTCATCAGCAAGGAAAACATGCGAAGAGAAAAGCAATTCTCAGTGATCCTGATATGAAGGAAAGATGTAGCACCTGGCTCAGGAGTCAAGACCCTGTCCGTAGAAGTATCCCTGCTCTTCGTCAGCATATACGACAAGAAGTGCTCCCTGAGTTACTTGAGTTGGAAAATGATGTCGAGGCCGGTGCCGATGTCATTTCCTCTCAGCCAGAGCATCCATTGTCGAACGTTGCTCTGGCAACCTACCTGAAGGCTTGTGGTTTTGACTATAAAACAGGTAAATACAATATGTAAAAACTTAGAATATATACTAATGCTTTAGCTTGATTATATTTTTGGGCATATGTGTGTAGGAAAGGATCGAACATACTTTGATGGCCATGAGCGGGATGATGTTGTCAGATATCGAATTAAGTGGGCCCAACAAATGATGGAATGGCATAAGCGTATGGAAACCTATCCCTTGGATAATGAGAATGCTGATCCAGTTCAACCTAGCCTAAAGTATAATGAGAAAAAGATGGTTTTAGTTACTCACGACGAATCAATCTTTTATTCAAATGATTGTAAAGTCACTAGTTGGTGTGAGAAGAACGAAGCCATGATTCCTCCTAAAGGTCAAGGAATATCTGTATTATGATCAGTTCATTCATGTGTCCCTGCCACGGAACAATGAGAGGTACCGTCAATCGTGCCAATTTGATATCAAGAGTCATCTTCTTCCCTGGCAACAGTAACGGCGATGGTTATTGGACAAACAGAGATCTGACGTGTCAATTATATGATGTAATTCATCTTTTCAATAAATTACATCCTAATTGTGTTGGTATCTTTGCCTTTGACCAGAGCTCGAACCATAAAGCCTTTGCGGACGATGCTCGTGTTGCCTCGAAGATGATTTCCGGGACTAGCGAAGTAAAGTCTTCTACCCTGTATAGGTTTCGGGATACCACTTATGTAGATAGAAACGGCATCATCAAGCCTCAAAGTATGTATACCATGGAATCTATGAACGTGGATGCCGCCATGAAGGAGATAAACAGACGGCGTGCCAAAGGACAGGCGTTTGATACCAATGCACTTGTCGAAAAGTACCAACACGCACAAGTAAATTTAATAATATAACATTAATATATAAAGAACTGACATCTTTATTATCATTATCTCTGTAGAAACGTAACAAGTTCAAGGGAACTCTCCGTCTGTTGAGAGAACGTGGCCTGCTCGGCAGAAATGAGCCTCTGAGAAGGGTTTGTGTGAGAGGTACTCCACACGACCCGCAGGCTAAACCTGGCTGTTGTACCGAATACTTGTTGTCACAACAACCTGATTTCAAGGCCCAGAAGAATATGCTCGAGACCCAAACATCCAAGACTGGTCACCTTTTTACCCTATACCCTAAGTACCATTGTGAGTGCAATTGGATTGAAAGACATTGGGGTGCAGCTAAACGATTTGCACGAATAGAATGTGATTACTCGTTTGACACTCTGAAGTCAAGAATCGAAGAGTTTCTTGACCATGATGAGGCTGTTTTCGGTCCTAAAATCAATAGACGATATTATAATCGTGCCTATAGATATATTGACGCTTACAGCAAGGGTAACGATGTCTTGGAAGCTGAAGATATTATCAGTAAGTTTTCCAAAGAATATCGATCCCACAGACGTGCTGTTTAGTTGCTCCTTGATGACTTTCAATCTAAAAAAAAAAAAAAAAAAAAAAACAATTTAGACTCCCCCCAAATAAAATATATTTCCCTGAAAAATTTTCTTAAAAAAAAAAAAAAAAATTCTCCCCACATTAAAAAAATCTGGCTATAAATAAATTTCCTTTTATATTACTTGTACTAGTCGAAGATGAATGCTCAAAAATTTCACAGATTACGTATTGGTATATTACAATGAAGATGCACTCTATACCAGTGTAAGAGAATGTGGTGTGCCAAAAGCTTGTTAAGGGAGAGCTTTAAAAGTGACAACCAAACACACAGAAGAAGGGTAACAGTAAAAAATTCTTTAGTGGTTTATTTCATCAATATTGTTAACAAGGTAAAAGAAAATGTAGAATCAACAAGATCCCGATAGTTCAGACTCTATCAATGACGCTTTCGAAGATATGGGTCGCGATGAGTCCCCCATCATAGCAGACGTGCTGTAAGTTTTTTTTATTGTTTTTCATGCATGATATATGTATACTCATATGCGATAATTATTTTTTACACAGTTCTCCTCCACCAGAAGTAGCGAATGAACTTTCACGTAAAAGAACCAGAAGAAGATAATAGTCGTGTCTGGTCGACATGATTGGTCCAATCTGGTTTTTAGCTTCTTTATTAGTGTGTATTTTAGCGTTCTTTTAGCTTACAATTTTTTCTCTCTTTCTTTTACTTTTATTTATCTTTTAAAATAAATAGCCTTCAAATAACGATGGTAAGGGTATATAGCCCCTTCAAAATAACGGAAGGTGTGAACAAATATGTTGGAATTGGGTATGTTTGCAATGACTGAAGCAATGACATGTAATCTGTATAAAAAACTAAAGGGGTTTTTTTTTAGATAAAAATTTAGCCTATTTTCGTTATTTGGATCAAACTAAAGCACGTCTGTATAATATAACCATTTTCCATGGATAATGGTTCTCATCAATAGCCGGTTCTATCTTTACAGGTAAATAGCCTTTAAAAAGTTATGTTTTATTCTTATTGATATCATACTGCTTACATATAGACTATTTATTCTGTGTACCTTTCACTCAAACGAGGACATTTTAGGAACACCACCGGTCAAATAATCATCGACATTAGAACTTAAGGCTGGTAATAAAATACAGAATTAATTACAATATTACTATTTTTTAACAATACCTTTATAGAGTGTTAAGAGAGTCAAAGGTAAGCTAAAGTAACATCCAAGCATTTTAATGGTATCTCTTATTGCCATGTATACAACCACAAACCTAAATAAAAAGGTTAAAGTTATATCAAACCCTCTATACACCACTATATAAATAAACAATCCAATAAAACGTGCTTTACTGCCAATAATAACGATGAATAAGAAAATGTGAGCCTACCAAATATAAAAGAATGGGTCTAAAAGAAAGGTTAAGGGTTTGTCCGTTTAAAAAAAATGGCAGCTGTGAACGTTTTGTTATTATAGAATATCATAACTGCCACTTTTACAAGCCAGGAAAATGGAAGCTGTGAATGATTTGTCTTCAACAAACTAAAAGAGGTGCCATTTTTTAAAACCAAAAAACAGCAGCAGTGAACCTCTTGGCTTCATTCAACTGTTAAAGGTGCCATTTTTGCCAGCCAAAAATATGGCAGTTGTGCCTCTTTTGTTATTATAGAATATCATATCTGCCACTTTTGCACGCCAAAAAAATGGCAGTTTTGTGAAGTAAATGGCAGATAGTTGCCATTATTTCCGCCATAGTGGCTGCAACACTCAGTAGATCAAAAACTATGGGTATTCAAACCCTTTTAAACGTTTTTGAAAGAAACAAAAAATACCCTCGTTGGAAAATTTGTTGGCTCACTGCAGATGAAATGACAACGCTCAACGAGATGGTGCTTACGAACACCACAAATGAATTTGAGAAACAGGTGTTAGAAGGAGTGTTTGGCTTTGTTAACGGTCTTAACCTTAGAATACAACATCCTGAAGACCCATTCGAGCAAACTGCGTACTATAACGGATGGAAAGGTGATTGCTATGCCTCACAAGTTTTAGTATATACCTCGGATGGCTGTATCGCCTATGTGAGGTAGGATTGACATACTTGTTTGATTCTCTAAATAAACAAAACTAAATTGACTCTTTTTCTTATAGATGTAACTGTCCTGGTTCTTGGCATGATGCCGAAATAGCAATTCCACTTTACGAAAGGTTTCTTGCTTACAAATGTCCAAGCCCTTTCAAGCTTCTTGCGGATTCTGCTTTCCCTTGTAAGCGAGAGTTTGAAAACAAAGTGCTAAGTGTACCAAGAGAAAACGCAATTGGCATTGAAAGAGCCAACGTGCAGACACAAAAGAAACATGCTATCATTACCAAGCATAGACAGGCAGTGGAATGGGGTATGAGAGACATACAAGGGTCTTTTGGAAGACTTCATACCAAGCTTCCTTCGGATAGAATTAAGCATTATGAAATCCTGACCCTTGTATGGAGACTACACAACTTCCGTGTAAGAACGGTTGGCGTCAACCAAATTAATACTGTTTACTATGCTAATTGGAAGGCGAGAGAGCAAGAAATTTTGAATTATGAAAATTAATAAAATTTATTGAAAGTTAATTCTATTTTATGGTTTTGGAACAAAAAAAAATTAACTCGGAAAATCAAATTCCCGGAGTTAATTCTATTCTATTTAATTCTATTTTGCATTGGATGACTTCCAAAATGCAAAATAGAATTAAATAGAATAGACTTAATTTTTTGGGTTGTGTAACGTGGAATTAACCTTAAATTCAAGTGTCGAATAAATTCTACTAGAATTGCTTGAGACACTCAAATCCAAAATAAGAAATATGATTGTGCTTTATATCTTCTTTATTTAAAGTCAGCGAAAATTACAAATAAAATTAAACTAATACTATCATATAATAATTGATCTTCTTTTTCGCTCGGTCAGCACCGCAATTATGAGTTCCGAAGAATTAGCTGCTATGCAGCAAAGAATTATGCAATTAGAACAATTGATATCACAAGCACAACAGGCCCAATCTTCAACAGGGCCACAGCCACCACCAACGCAACAAATGGCTGAAGATAGAATGGAGGAACAGCAGGGTGTTCTACATTCTCTTGAAATAAGACCCTCATACACGTGGAATCCATCACCGTTATTAACTGAAAAGTTATCGTTGGATAGCTCATTATTTCCCGATACAACTATGCGGGATGAGGAAAGACGTTTATTAATCGATAAATATCCAGGCATCGAGACCGTTCAATATCAGCCACCAGAATCTATACCTAGTGCCGCGCGTAGAATGAACAAATATCAGGCCAAACAAGATATGTCGTTAAAGCGTTTGCAGTACTTAATTTCTCGAGTTTTTCGTCCGCTGGATGTATTGGGTTTAGAGCTTAGTCTCGAGACTCAAAATCAAAACGTACAGCGATACCTAGAAATGCTTAGTGATTGCAGATCCTTATTACTAAATGTATCAGCAAATGTAAACGATCTACGTAACAAAATTGCTTTTCAAGCTATAAATCCCTCATTCACAACAACTAATGCAAGCAGTACAAATTATACTATGTCTCCAACTCAGTTCCAAGAAGCTATAACTCAACAGACTACATCATCTCAAGCAATGAAATCAGCAAGTAATCTGCGTAATAAAAAGCGACAATTTAGCAATACCAACAACAGCAACACCATGTGGAGCAATAACAACAACAATCAACAATATCAACAACAACCACAGCAGTTTTTTCGGCCGGCTCCGTCCTCACAACAGGGCGGTTTTCTCAACAACAACAACAACAACAACAACCACAGCAACAACAACGCCATGTGG